TCTGGGAGCACATCTGGCCAAACGGTATCTCCTTGGCTCTTCTAGACAGGAGAACTCCCTCCTGTGAGTTGAATCTGGGGCTTCTTTGCCCCCTGGATTGCTCTTCCAGACCCTCTTCCTGTGAGTGAGACTGGACTCTCAGCCCTATTAGTGGGTCTGCGGTCTCTGGGCAGTTTTGATAGCTTCCCTGGAGAACAATGGTGTCTGCACAATGGTGTCTGGAGAACATGTGTTTGGTCCCTGGATTGGAGGAGGGCTCTCATAAATTTCATGACAACAGGAACTGAGCATCTTTGAAATTCCAGCTGCCGGGAGTCTATAGAAAACCCACACATTTGCTTTTCTTATCAGCCCAAGTGCTAATCATATGTGGTGCCTGGAGGAGAGGGTTGGAGCTACCCTGCCCTATTCTCCTCTTACACTTTAAGGACAGGCTTTCTGTGAGCATTATTTGTTGGGCTGCATTCCCTCATCTTTTCTACCTGACTGTATTTCCATTTTAAGTCCAGAGGCCTTTCTTTTCAGCATTTGATATTTTCTTGAGTTTTCAGTAAGAAAAAAATACACCAGGTACCAGGTGATAGTAGCTATGATCCTAGCTACTTCAGGAGGCTGAGATCTGAGGATTTCCTAGATCTTATCCAGCAAAAAAGCTGCAAGTAGATCTGTGGCTCAAGTAGAAAAGTGTCATCATTGAATGGAAAAAGCTAAGCAAGATCCTGAGTTCAAGTTCTGGTACTAGTACAAAAAGAAAAAAGAAAAGAAAGAGAGAGGGGGAGATGGGAAAAGAAAAACTTAAGAGGAAAAGGGGGGAAGTGGGAAGAGATGTAGAGGAGAAACTCAGATGTGGTGATATGCATCTATAATCTCTTGAGATAGGAGGATCATAAGCTTGAGATCAGCCTGAGCTACATAGCATGACCCATCTTAAAAAGAAAAAAATAAGTATGAGTCTAAGAGACTCAGTCTCAGGGGAAATGTTGAGAACTGCGTTTTCTTCATAGCAGTCATTTTTATAACACAACTGAAAGCAGCATTACACCTTTCCCACACACACACCCCCCACCTCAAGGAGGATTTAGTTCTCAAAGTTATTGGGCAAATTAGTCCCTGGGTGGCCACCTGCCTTATAGCAATGCATCAAATGAGGTAAGGAAGGCACTGGCACACAACAAGCACTCAGTAAATGGTTGCCTACCCCTCCTACTTGCTTCCTCTACAGCCCCAGCAACAGTCCTGTCTGTCTGGGCTGACAATGCCTGGGGTTGGGGGTATTCTTTCTTTGATACAACAAACATCTATATAGAAAACTTTCCCCTCCCCCCAAAATGAAAAGTTTCTTCCCTGTTACTCACTGCATGTTTCACACTTTGTATTAGATTATTTTCTGTTGCTATAACAAAATGTCCAAGGCTAGGAGCTTTTTTTAAAAAAAGGTGGAGGAGGGGGATGCGGTTACTTAGCTTACAGTTATGAAGCCAGTCAGTTGGAGAGGTCAGGATTGCTCTTGTTCTCACAATTCACACTTCAGGGGAAAATACTGGGGTCCTGTGAGAACAATTAATCACTTCAGAGGACATTTCTGCCTCTTTCTTTCTTTTTTTTTGTTTTGTGTTTGCTTTTGTTTTTGTTTTCCAGTCATAGGGCCTGAACTCTGGGTCTGGGCGCTGCCCCTCAGCTCTTCAGCTCAAGGCTAGCGCTCTACCACTTGAGCCACAGCACCACTTCCAGCTTTTTCTGCTTATGTGCTGAGGAATCGAACCCAGGGCCTCATGCATGCAAGGCAAGCACTCTACCACTGAGCCACCTTCCCAGCCCCATTTCTGCCTCTTTCCTATACTACCATACTAGAAACCAAGACTCCAGTGCAGGAAGCGTTGGGACACACACTCAAGCCATATCCAAACCATATGAAGTGCATTAGCTCATAAATCCACAGAGCGTGTCAGGACCACGAGCCACAATGCCTCCCCATCTAAGGCTAACTCACCCTATGGGTGAGTGACAGCAGAGTGGCTGCAGCATGGCACTCCTCCTTCTCCACATGCTTTGGAGTTCCAAGTATACCCCCTGTTTGAAAACCTGGAACAAGCCCTGACACTTCTGACACACCAGTGGAGACAGGACCTGTCCCACACTTGTCTACATAGGACTTACTTGAGTAGGGCCAGGACAGAGCACAGTGTCTTGGGTTACATACTTCTTTTTGGGGGGGGGGGTGGGTCGGGGTCGGGGTCCGGTCGTGGGGCCTGAACTCTGGGCCTGGGCACTGTCCCTCAGCTCTTCAGCTCAAGGCTAGCGCTCTACCACTTGAGCCACAGCACCACTTCCAGCTTTTTTCTTTTTGCCTATGTGGTGCTGAGGAATCAAACCCAGGGCCTCAGGCATGCAAGGCAAGCACTCTACCACTGAGCCACCTTCCCAGCCCCTTAAATACTTCTTTTTAAGATGCTTGTGATTGTATTGGAGGACATAATGAGCTCATGTGCATGTTTATGTGCAGTGTGTATACTAGTGTGATACTCGCCCAGTACTAGATTTTAAACATGGGATATATGTTACAAGATGTTATATATTGGTAGATTCAAAAAATTTGCTGCTTGTGTGTATGTGTGCGTATGTTACTACAATTCAAACTCAGGGCCTTATACCTGCTAGGAAGGTATTCTAAGGGTTGGAGGTATGGCTCAGTTGGTAGAGCACTAGCCAATGAGCAAAAGAGGCAAGTCCCTAGTTCGAATCCCAGTCTCAGACCTAAACAAAAAAAGAAAGAAAAGGAAAGCATTCTATACTGAGTTACACCCCCCAGCCCAATACACTACTTTATAATTAAGAAATAAGCATTTGAAAAAGTTTCAAAAGTGAATATAATTAATACGCAATGTTTTGTTTGGGCCTTTTCTCAAAGGAACTATCTGGGGGTTTTCGTTTTGTTTTTAGTTTTTGTGCTGGTACTGGAGCTTAAACTGAGGGCCTTGACACTCGCTTAGCTGTTTTAACCAAGGCTAGTGCTCTCCCACTTGAGCCACACCTCCACCATGGCTTTCTGCTGATTAATTGGAGATAAGAGTTTCTTGGATTTATCTGCCTGGGCTGGTTTCAAACCTCAATCCACAGATCTCAGCCTCCTGAGTAGCTAGGATTACAGGTGTGAACCGCTGGTATACAACATCTCTTTTTGCTTCTCCTACCCTAACTCCATTTCTTCCCTTCTCTTCCTGCCTGCCCTCCGATTCCTCTCTCTTTCCACCTTGGGTCTCCCTACCCCTTTTGCCACCACACCCCTTTATTTTTTTGCATCCCTTATTTTTGGTACCTGTTTATAAAGCACTCCCCAAGCCATTTAGTATGAGAGGCTAAGTCCACATCAGTAGAGGGGAAAGGACTATGACAGGTTCATTTGGAGAAATGTATCCCAAGAGACAGATCCAGGGTTTTTGACTGTGTTTGAACTGATCTGGTAGTACTGAGAGTTGAACTCGGGGCTTCACCATGTTCCTAGCCCTTTTGCTTTTGAGTTTGTTTTTAAGATAGGTTCTCGCATTTTGTGCCCACCCCAGCCTTGGTGACTGTAGTCAGTCAGAGCCATTGAAGCATTAGCAGTTGCTGCAGCCAGAAGCCCAGGGCTGAGGCAGAATTTGAACCCAGGTCTCCACGATTTCTAAGTACCTGCTTTTAACCAGTACCCATAGTCTTGCCCACTTCATTTCTGATCCTGTTTGCGTTTTTAGCCTCTCCTTTTCTCACAGGAATTCTGGGATTTCTAAAAGTCAGTGCTGCTGTAAACTGCCACAACAGAAAATGTTCTGCCCTTCCTCAGAAAGCAAGAGCTCCAAGAATAAGTGGGAAAGACTCGTTTCCCCCAATGCCCAAGACGCAAGCACAAATGGACTGCGGAGTGGTGATGGGACCATTTCTTCCCTACCTGCCATTGTGAGGGAGCCGCTGAGGCTCTTGACAGTTGGCCATGGGGGTGGAATGCCTTCTGGGTAGGACAGCAGGTCCATCAGGGCCGTAGGCATGATATTGCTCCTGAATGGTCTGAAAGCCAGAAGAGGAAGTCCCTGATAGACTGGGTACCCCTGCCTCAGCCCTCAAGCATCAAGGCTGTGAACACCCCACTCAGGGATGGAGACCCAGTTTGGGTCTCTCTTCTCTCACCTTCTCTGGACTTTCCAATAGGACTCTGCTTCACTCCCATGGATCCTGTTGCTAAATATAAGGAATTCCTCTTAGCTCCACACCAAGACCTACTTACTCCCTGGTCAATGTCTGCCACTCCAGACTTCCTCAGATCCAGTTGAATCTCACTATACACACCCTGCTAGAAACAAGTAGCTTCACTTCTAGTATATCAGGAATATCTTTCTGCATCACTAGCCATTCTGCCTCTGCATTCTTTTACTGTTTGTAGGCTCCTTTTAACGTTTCTTCTGGTACCATGTTTGAAGATAGATTTTTGTAAATGATGTCTTTTTATAATGGTTACTATCACTTTACGAAAATGAAACTTACTTGGTTGAATTTATTTTTATTTATTTTTCTTGTCTTTTTTTTTCTGTCAATCGTGGGGCTTGAACTCTGGGCCTGGGCACTGTCCCTGGGCTCTTCAGCTCAAGTTGAGTGCTCTACTACTTGAGCCACAGCACCACTTCCAGTTTTCTGGTGGATAATTGGAGATAAGAGTCTCATGGACTTCCCTGAAATCCTCAGATCTCAGCCTCCTGAGTAGCTAGGATTAAAAATACTTTGGCATCATTGCACTGAATTTGGGGAACACTGGTTTACTAACCATGAAAAAGTCAGAAGGCACCTGATGGAAGGGGTATGGTCCTACACGTGATATTAGGAAGCAAATGAGAGCTCTACAGGATGAGCCCTTAGTTGGAGACAGGAAGTCAGGGGCCCCACCTGTCTTGAGAATGGCAGGTAAGGGCCATGGGAACGTATGTGCCAGCTGGGCCCAGAGCTGACCTCTGCATCTTTTCTCTCCCCAGCAGACCCTCCTGTGGCAGCAGCAGTGGTATCACATTTTAACGACTGCCCAGATTCCCACACTCACTTCTGCCTCCATGGGACCTGCAGGTTTTTGGTGCAGGAGGACAAGCCAGCATGTGTGTAAGTGTCCCCTAATCTCCTGGAGTCGTGGGGCTGTCAAGCATCCTGTTAAAAAGACCATGTCCCTCCATAAGGCTTGCCACAAGCTCCTGAGATCACTGGAGCTGAACAAGTCGGAGGATCAGAGCAGCGGGCCTAGAAACATCTGCTTCAAAACCCTAACATACAGAATTCAAATCTCTGGAAGTGAGTCCTGGCGATTATCATATCAGCCAGATAAGGAAAGAAAAGCATCAGAGAAGAGCAGGAGTCAGAATCTGACTACCGGGCACGCAGATAGAGCAGATCATGTGACAAGGCCCAGCTATTACAGGTCTGCTGACCACAGCACAGAGATGGGAGGAGACAAGATTGGAGGCCAGTGCCTGCTGGAAGTGCATCTCTAACATCCAGGCAGTGGGAACCACATAAGGTTGGAAGATGTTTAAAGACAATATGTCCATAGTTGAAAGAATACTCTCCCTCTCTCTCTCCCTTTCTCTCTCCCTTTCTTTCTCTCTCTCTCTCTCTCGCTCTCTCTCTCTCTTATGTGTGTGTGTGTGTGTGTGTGTGTGTGTGTGTGTGTGTGGTGTGTGTGTGTAAGGAAGACCTATACTCAACCTAGCCATTACCGACACTTGCAGCAAGATAATTTTCAGTGAATGTCTCATGCATTGAATGTTGCTAGCCATCTGCTACCCACTAGCAGCAGCAGGACCACTCTCCTCAGTTGTGACAATCAAAGTGCCTCCTGACATTGCCAAGGATCCCTTAGGGGACAAAAATCACTTACTAGTTAAGCAACAGTGGTCCACATGAATTGTCATTTTTATAGATCAGAAATGGTCGTGAGTTAGACATTTCATGAGCTCTAACCATATGGTATTGTAGAGCTGTCAATAATAGGAAATGTTGATGCCAGCATCTCCTGAACTATTGCTTCATGCCAGGCTCTGTTTCAAGCACGATCCGTGTGTTGACTCCTGAGTAGGCATAGAAAGTCTTAGCCCAGGTCACACAGCAGAGCTTAGACTCTGGCTCTTGAAGTTGAGTTCTTAGGTATGATGCTTAAGGTATTAGATGTACTGGGCCTGGGAGGAGGAATGCAAATAAGTCTGCTGCCATCACAGCTGAGCTATGTGTGCCTGGACATGGCCTTTGGGAGCCTCTGAGCCCCACCTGGAGAAGAAAGGCATACTGACCAACTTCCTCTGGGTAATGTCTCCCCACCCCATAAACACAAAGCATAATGACGTTGATTATAGTAGACACTGTCATCACTCATGATTATCATTCTTATTAAAATGAACAACAGGGGCCCCTGGGGGACCAATGGGGTTGTTTTTATTAGTACCAAGGCCATTGTGGAAAAACACTAGCCCCAAAGGGAGTTTGACCTCTTGGCCCAAATGTCTTGAAGCCTCCTGGCTAATAGGTAGATGACACTCTCTCTGTCAGCAGTGCCCAGGCTAGGCTATGCACTGGCAACTTAGAATAAGCCATTGTCACATTCGGATCAAAAGTGGGTCAGCACTTGGTGCTAGTGACTCATATCCGTAATTCTAACTACTTGGGAGGCTGAGATCTGAGGATCGCAGTTTGAAGCCAACCCAGGCAGGAAGCCTGTGATACTCATCTCTAACCACCAAAAGGTATGGCTTAAGTGGTAGAGTTCTAGCCTTGAGTGAAAAAGCCAAGCCCCAGTGCCAAGTGGGTCAGAAACTCCATGCTTCCAACTAGATCAAGGGCTGGCACAAACTTTCAGAGAGCTGGCACTCTGAACCATCAGATGAGCCAAACTAAGGCTCCACTAGGTTCTAGAGCTTTCAAGAACTGAGGGTGTGTGACTTTTCTCCTCTTCTTTCATTGGCCTCCTAAATCCTGTTCTTAGCTCAGGGAAGATAATTATCTACTACTCCCACACTCTCCTCCCTTCTCTTCTCTCTCCTTTCTTCTCCCTTCTCCCCTTCCTCTCCCCTCCCTTCTTTGTGTGTATGCCAGTCCTAGGATTTAAACATAAGGCTTAGGTGCTATTCCCAAGCATTTATGCTCAAGGCTAGCACTCGACCACTTGAGTCACACCTCCACTTCCAGCTTTTTGGTGGTTAGAGATAAGGGTATCACAGGCTTTCCTGCCTGGGCTGGCTTCAAACTGTGGTCCTCAGATCTCAGCCTCCTGAGTAGCTAGGATTACAGGCATGTACCTAGCTTATAAATATTTCTTGTAGTGATATTAAATTCTCTGCAAAAGCTATAGCTCATGCCATACTTAGTACCCAGCATTCCACATTCAACTTCCCCAAGATGCCTTAGAACTTCCCTGCATAGTAGAGATTTTTGCCTTACTATAAAAGTGAGAAACTGAGGCTTACTCAGTGCCTTAGAACTAGTTGATAGCAGAGGTGGGATCCAGTCCGATTGGTCCAGCCTTCAACCCCATATCATCAGCTTACAAAATTCACTTCAAATCACTAAGCCCCTGTTTCCAAGCAAGATATATCCCTGCAGATAAACCTTCCTCTAGAAAGGTTAGGGTGACTCTTGCTCAGGATTCTGACTGCAGACTCTTTGCAAGTCCTTCCTATAGGCCATATGCACAGAATAAGACAACTGACACGCCCTGGCAATTAGAAAACGCTGACCACATGGGGGAGGCATGGCTGTGCCTGAGTCTTTACCTCATTTGTCCCCTGGATCTTGGTGGCCCAGGGACAGATGTGTCACAGTAGGTGATGCTCCACATTGTTCTTTAGTGGCTCTAATTAGCTATCAGCATGGCAGACATCAGGTTTCAGGCTTCCCTGCAGTTGCCCAACTACTCTTCAATAAGCACAAGAGTAACAATGCAGGGCCTGGCCTCTCACATGGGGCCACTGGCCTGGGACTCAAGTGCACCCGCCCATCACCCCAGATAAGAGTCCATCCTCTCTGAATCTGACTCCTAGCTTCCCCCTGCATTGCCTGACACAAACGCTGGTCTCTATCACTGCTGCCAGCAATGGCATGTTGATGCAAGCTGGCTGGGCCCCCTACATTCACATGCATGACCCTGAAGGCTGCATGGCCAGCCCCTAACAAGGTCATCTGAAGATCACTCTTGCTCTGAAAGTGCAGGTTGGTAGGAGGCAAGTGTAGAATGCCATCCCCCTGTGCAGTGTTCTCAGGGCATATAGCCCAGCAAGCCAAGCCCCTAGCAATGGTGAGTGGCTTCGTTAACCTCCCTTCCTCACCTGCAGGCTCAGAGGCTCCATAAGACAGGACCACACCTTATACCTTTTTGTATTGACAGCAACTAGAAGAATGTTCTAACTAATTCCCAACAGACTAGAAACTCTGGGTCTGTGCAGAGAACGCCAGAACATTCTGTCCCTGCTCTTAAGAACCACCCCAAACTGACACAGACAACATTCTGGTCAATAAAACTGACATAACCTTGAGGCAAGGTCCCATCTGTCACAGCTTTATACAGAAGCCACAGTGGGTCAAGACCGTAGTCTCAAAAGAGGATGCTCTTTCTAAAATAATGGCATTCTTAGACTTTGTCTTCCATACCAATAGTCTTTTAAGTTTCCAGAAAACTTAACCTATAAAATCAGAAAATGGACAACAAAATCACTAGTCAGAAATGGTCAAAGCTGTGAAAATCATCCTCAAACACGTATGGTTGATGTGAGCATTTATGACCATCTTGGATAATCTCGCTAGGACCTAGCGTATCAGCAGAGCTCAGGAAAGGCCAGCTTGGAGTCCACTCTTGTCTTCAGGAAGATTCCTCAGGCTGCTGGCTGCAAAGCCTGCAAACAAAGGGAGAGGGTTGCAAGAAGCCACCCACATGACTCTGTCAGGGGTTCCAGTGTTGTCATCGAAGGACATATTAGAAGTTTCTCACCTGTCCTAAAGGTTTCCAGTGTTGGAATTCCCTGACAGCTTTCTCACAGTGAAGTAGGACAACAAATTACAGTCAGCCAAGGAAAACCTTCCCAGTGGTCCCTACCACAGACCATCCCAGTGTAATATAAACTATCAAAACACACCAAGAGACGGTCTCATGTGGTAATCCTCCTGCCTACCCCTGCCTCACCGTTGGGATTGCAGATCAAGCCACCATGCCCATCTTGTTTGTTGAGAGGAGGTTTTGCTACCTTTTGGCATCAAACCAATGTTCCTCCCATTTCTACCTTCCAAGTTCCTGGAGTTATAGGTGTGAGCAGCTGGGCCCAGCTTGAAAAAATATCTTTACATGCATCATCTTTATGTTAATATATGACAATGTAGGATACTGTGAACTAGGTAAAGTAGGGACTTAGAGAAATCCCTCAAGTTCTGGGTAGAGGAGAAAAATGGTATTTCATGGGCAATTTAGTTCTTTGTGTTAACATAGAGGGACTACAACCACAGCATTTGCTCCTGAGTACCAAAAACAATACTGGGCACCAGTAGCTCACATCTGTAATCCTACTTAGGAGAGTGAGATTCAGAGGATAAAAGTTCTAGGCCAGCCAGGAAAAGTTTGGAATCCTCTCCTCATCCATCTCAACAGAAAAGGCTAGCCATGATGGTATGTGCCTTAGAATGCAGGTATTGTGGAAGGTATAAATAGGAGGGCTGCAGGCCAGGTTGGTCCTGGCAAAAAAGGAAGATCTTATCTCAAAAAACTCACTGGAGATATGGCTCAAATAGTAAGTAGAAGTCCTGCTTAGCAAATGTGAAGTCCAGAATTCAAACTCCAGCATCACACACACACACACACACACACACACACACATGTGTGCCCATGCACGCATGCACACACGCAAATATGCACACACAGTCTAAGGATGGAGAGGAATCAGATTCCACACCAAGAGGATACCAGACATTGAGTGGGCAGGTGCACAGCAGCCCCTGGCACATTCCACAGGTGTATCCTAGGTGCCTAGGTTGTGTATTCTGCTAGGTCTGGTGTGTGCATTTAACACTGTGCTGGGAGCATGAGGGAGAAAGGACTTGGACTGGCTGGAACCTAGATAGTTAGGGGTTAGGACCATGCAGGAAATGGGTATTACACACAGAGGAATCTCACCTCATAGGGCTCCTCTGGAAGGTAGAGGCATCTGGCTACAAGGTAAAAACTTAAGGATAGGCTGGAGGAACCCTTTGCAGTTTTGTTTAGACATGGACAGCTTAGATGATGCCTGAGACAGTTGCAGATCACCTCCCAGCCTCCACTATGGTCCCCTGGAGCTCTCCTCCTCCCCTCAGTGGGAAAGGGCCAGTGCCAACCTGGGAAGCTATTTCTCTGCTTCTGCTTCTACTTCACAGGAAAAAAAAAAAAAAAGAAACAGCTGGACAGTGGTGGCTCATACCTGTAATTCTAGCTAATGAGGAAACTTAGATATGAGGATCCCAGTTTGAAGCCAGTCCAGGCAGGAAAGTCTACCAAACTCTTATCTCCAATAAATTCCTCAGAAAAAGCTGGAAGTATCACTGTAGCTCAAGTGATAGAGCACTAACCTTAAGCAAAAAAGCTCAGGGATAGCCCCCAGACCCTGAGCTTAAGTCCCAGGACCCCCACCAAAATAATAATAATAATAATAAACATAAACAAAAAGCTTTCCCATCCCATTGCTTGGAACTATGAGAGTCAGTGTTTTTCAGACGTAAGAGATCCCAATCCCAGTTTACAAGAGAAGTCTTCCAGGGCTGGGAAGGTGGCTCCGTGGTAGAGCGCTTGCCTTGCATGCATGAGGCCCTGGGTTCGATTCCTCAGCACCACATAAGCAAAAAGAAAAAAGCCAGAAGTGGTGCTGTGGCTCAAGTGGTAGAGTGCTAGCCTTGAGCTGAAGAGCTGAGGGACAGCGCCCAGGCCCAGAGTTCAGGCCCCACAACTGGACCCAAAAAAAAAAAAAAAAAAAACAAGAGAAGTCTTCCCATCGGAGCCTCCACTACCAGGGCCTGGTCTCTCCTCCCCAGGCTGTAGAGACACTGATGAGCATTTTCCACCCCCATGCCCTCCTCAGCTTCCTGATTTACCAAAGACTACAAGCATTTCACGCTGCACTCAAAACTCTCAAATACTTTACCCTTCCAAGCGTAGAGGCTAACCTAAAAAGCAGGTCTGATTGAGACACTTCTGCCCCAGTCTCCCTAGCAAACAGGTGAATCAGCCTAGAGAATGTGAGAGCCAGACTCAGGCAGCAGACCTGGCTATAAACTCAAGTCTCCAGAAGGACTTGATTTTTTTCATGCAAGGATGAATTGAGAAAACATGTTAAGAATAAAATAAGCTTTAGCAAAAGTAGGTATGATGGCATATGCCTGTGACCCAGTACTTGGGAAGCTCAGAAAAGGGGAACATGAGTTCGAGACTGCCCTGGTCCTTGACAATAGCCCAGCTTCTGACAGAGGAGAAAAAATCAGGAGGTTGAGGATCACAATTCAAAGCCAGCCTAGGCAGAAAAGTTCATGAGATTCTTTTCTTTAACCAACAAAAACCCAGAAGTAAAACTATAGCTTAAGTGGTAAGAGCACCAGCCTTCTGAGAAAAAGCTATGGAAAAACACCCTGGCCCTGAGTTCAAGTCCTAGTACAGGCACTAAATAAAGGACCAGTACCTGAATTTAAACATTTCCTTTGTCTACTCTTATATCCCAGGATACTCCTCCATCAGCAACTTTTCAGCATCCCTGCTTACCATAAATCTTAAACCTATATAATACCTTTCTCTACACTCTCAAAATGCTGGAAATTTTAACACGGGGAAAAACTCAGACTCTCAGAAAACAGACCACATCTATCCCATGATACCTGGAGCCTGGTAGCTGAGGTGGCCAGCTTAAGGGGAATCTCACATATAAAGGTCCTGGCACTGGCCTGGCACCATGGCAGGTACCCAGGCTCAGTAATCCTCTTTCAGAGTTCCTTGTTCTCCAAGGCCTTTTAATCTACAAGTGAAAGTTACAGAGTAGCTAATCATAACGGAGTCATTTAAAAAAATAACAAGAAAAGAAAATAGCTAGCATTGTTATCTCTGAAAGGAGAAACAATTAAACCTAGAGTGTGATATGGGACTGCCCCTCCCAGAAGTCCTTTATGGGACTTCTGAGGTCAAATGTTTTCAAATGGCAATAAAAAAGGGATCCGTGCATATTCTAAGTAGCCTCTATTGAGGAAAATCATGGAGCAGGGGAGGGGGAGCGTTGGCATTGATAAAACAAATGTGCTAGTGCCATTCATGACTTCCCATGCCTCTCCTTTCCTTATTGGAGGTCAGCCAGTATTGCTAGATGCACAGACACCAGGGTCCAAGGAGCCTAGTGACCACCAGTCCTGCCCATGTCCTGCTGAATGTTCCCTGAACACTGGGCCATCCAGGAAATCCTGGCAAGGCTAATTAAACTTGATGGAGAAGACAGAAAGGCTAAGTCATGTGATGTCTTCAATTAGACAAGTATGTTTTCTTTCTCTCATCAGAAATTCTGAAAACACACATTTAATTTTAAAAAATAGTAACCTAGATTTTTTCTTCTCAATTGCCAAGATGACTTTCTTGACCTAAACACATTAGCTGTGTTATCTCCCAAGATTTGGCACAGTAAATTGGGGAAAGGAGACCCTGGAGAAGTGGACTGACATTCCTTTCTTCTCCAGCTGCCATTCTGGGTACGTCGGTGCACGCTGTGAGCACGCGGACCTCTTGGCCGTGGTGGCCGCCAGTCAGAAGAAACAAGCCATCACCGCCTTGGTGGTGGTCTCCATTGTGGCCCTGGCTGTCCTCATCATCACATGTGTGCTGATACAGTGAGTATCTGCTGCCCCCAGCCCTACCAGGGACATCTACAGCATGAGCTCGTGACAGGGCCTTGTCAGCCCAGTACACGGCTGTCAGGTCTCACTCTAAGCTAAATGTGGTAGCCAGGCCATGCGAAGGCCTAGGCCATCCCCAGCCAGACCCAGCTGTGTTCCTGTGCACTGCTGGAAGCCAGTGTCAAACCAAAGATTCACTTCCCCCTCTGCTGTTGTTCTTGGAACCTTGGAAACAGTGAGTTAAACAGATAGATGCTCTGAAGAGCTAGAAACCATTCTTTGGGACAGAAACAAAACCCAAAGTCACCTCAAAGGCCACTATTGCTATTACTGCAGACGGGCGACCATTACTTTTCCCAGCCGTTTCCCCCTTCATCACTTGGCCTCTCCTTGTCCTTCAAAATCCTGTATCCTCCAGGAAGCTTTTACTGAGCCCCATACCCAGTTCATTTGCTTGGCCTCATCTACCCATCAGGCAGCTCTGTAGAGTCAGTGACTTGGCAACACGGAGCTCTTGTCCCAAAACCTGGCCCAAGGCCAGATTTACCCCCTCACCCCCGACTCTCCCTTCCCTGGAACTAGCTGAAGTCTAAGTCACAGAGTGAGCTCTTTATACCTAATTGGATGCACAGGGAATTCATAGGTCAGTTAAAGGCTGCTGGGCTGTGGACTGGCTCATGGTGAGACAGGAAATAGACGGGCCATTGTGTCAAGGCTGGAGTAAACAGCTCCGTGTCAATGCAGAAGCCAGACTTGTGCCCTCCACAATTACCTAGATTTCACATAGACAAATAAGAGACTCTGTCCTGTTGGTTTGCTGCTGTTGAGACATCTGAAGCACATGCCTCTGGATCTGACAATAAGTGAGATCATATCTTAGAAACCCAGCTCCTGCCACTAGCCACAGGCTGCTCATACCCTTCTCCTAGACCAAACCAGCTCTGGTAAAGGTTGAAAGCCTTTCCTTCCTCCCTAAGCAACATCCATTCTGCCTGTAAGGGTCCTAGGAACACATGTCTACAATAGCATAGACAAACAGGGCAGAAGCAAGCCTCAAGTGGTCAGGAGCCACTAATAGGACACTGGTCTCATTTCCCATGGTCAGCTTAGCTGTGTGTTGTCACCATAGACCTGTTCCTATGACCAAAAGGGTACCAGCTCCTCAGGAACAAGACTTAGGACCCATATGGACCTTCTTGGAGGGACTTAAACACTAATTTTGCTAGCTTCTCTAGAGACAGGAACAATCTAGACACCGAAAGAGCATCTTTTATTCCCAAGGAGGCTGCCAGAACCACCCCTCCTCTGTACCTTCCCTGCACGTCCCTCCCAGAGTCTAAGCTCCACTCCACTAAAAGCCACACTCAAACCCTCAACCACCCTGGCTGCCTGGATATTAGGGCCCTGCTGAGTTATAGAATCCTGGTTGGGACCAGCTCACCCCATGCTATAGGAGTCTAGAGGCCTTGATCCCACGACCTAGGGTACTGCCAGCTGGAAGTAAGCATGGAAGTCCTCTCTAGGTACCTGGCTATAAGCTAGAGCTACTGACAGGGCTAGAATCTAGACCTATCCATCTTTCTGCTATGGTGTTGAGCAGGTTCTAACCCTGATGCTGTAGCTCAGGAGGGTCCAGAGCCCCAGCCAACTTCTCCGACCTAACATTTTCCACCTGCATCAGGAACAGGTTAGGCAAGAAGGTCAAGTCCATTCTCTGAGATTATATGAAACCAACTTTATATTCCAAGGCAGAGCCAGATTGCAGAAAGCTGGGGTGGGGATCTTGAAATGCCACCAGCACCAAGAGAAAGGCGCAGATGCTCATTTGTCAGTTTGTCATATGTCAGTTTTTAAATTTCTCCCAGCCCCAGTGCATGGATATATAGAATATACATATTGTGTTGTGTTTGTGTGTATTACAATAATGTTAGAGTACTTGGAATGAAATCCTTTCTTATATCCCATGGCCTTTAGGTAAGTGATATCTTGGTGCTTTCTTCCCAACTCTTTTAAGGCTCCTTGGTTGGTTGGTTTTTGGGTTTTGTTTTTTTTTTCTTGCTAACTCTGAATGGTCCTCATTGCTGCCCACAAAGGAAATCAAGAGCCCCTTAAACCCATAGCTTTACAACATGGTTAGATTTTGTAAAACTAGACTATTCATGCTCAAAGAAGTAGTCAAAGCTGTTGATATCATTTTCTCAGTCTTTTATGGGCAACTCGATCAAGCCACCCAGATTTTCTCTTTTGCCACTGGCCAGGCCTGAAAAATGACTCTTCCTGCAACCTTGTGGCCCTAAGACAGATGTGTCTACTGGTCCTAGGCCTGATGGCTGTTCTGGGACCCCTACCTTACTGGTGGAACTTCTAAACCCATTTTATTGAGCTAGCAGCTGGGTGGGAGCCAGTCCCCTCTACCAGCTCAAGAAGCTACAATCATTAATGGTACTGGTTCTTTGGGAGCAGCCAGCTGGTGTCTCTGTTATTGGCCAGCATCTGTCCCAGTGGGCCACCACCATGGGCGCTGAGCTCCCCCACTGTACCTGGACCCCTAAAGGAAGATTGATGGGGATCCCAGAGTTGCTAGGCCAGGCTCTCCTGAGATCATTTCCTGTCTCTACAGCTGCTGCCAGGTCCGAAAACACTGTGATTGGTGCCGTGCCCTCATCTGCCGGCATGAAAAACCCAGTGCCCTCCTGAAGGGAAGGACTGCTTGCTGCCATTCAGAGACAGGTAAAGGGCTGCTTTGAGAAAGGAACTCTCTGGTTGGAGAAAGTGACTCCAAGCTGGCACCCATGCCAGGAGGCTGAAAAGGAGTATGACCCAGGAGTGATATGAGGAATCAGAGTCCCCTGAAGGCCTGCTTGGGTTCTACCATGAGTTAGTGGGAATGTGAGAGTGAGAGCCAGGGCCTTTGAAGACCCCACTCGCTTCTCTTTTTACTATCATGAGAAAACACCCATGGTAAGTCAGGCACTTATGGCTCATGCCTGAAATCGTAGCTACTCAGGAGGCTAAGATCTGTGGATCACAGTTCAAAGCCAGCCCACCCAGACAGGAAAGCCCGTAAGACTCTTGTCTCCAGAAAACCAGAAGTGATGCTGTGGCTCAAAGTGGTAGAGTGCTAACCTTGAGCAAAATTGCTCAGGAATAGCACCCAGGCTCTGAGTTCAAGCTCCACAAACAACCAGAAAAGAACAAAAGAAAAGGAAACACTAAGGAAAGGAAACACTAAAGGTGCTAAGGAAGGTATCTTTTTTTCTTATACCACCAATAAAAAATTGCTTAGGCCAGGTGCCAGTGCTTACAATCTATAATCCTACCTACTCAGAAAGCTAAGATCTGAGGATCCTGGTTCAAAGTTATCCCACGCAGATAAATCCTAGAAACTCTTATTTCCAGTTGAAAGTGGAGGTGTAACTCAAGAGGTAGAGCAAGAGCCTTGAGTGAAACCTTAAATTAAAACCTACCTACTGGCACACGTGCATGAGCACACATGCACACGTGCACACGCACGCGTGTGTGCGCACGCACACACACACACACAGTTTAAGTCTCTTAAGAAAATGTGTAGTCATTTGTAGCATTTTTCTGAACTTCCAGTGCAGTTATTTGCGAATGTCCCTTCTCTTCCCACATTTGAGAAGTTTGGGGCAGGAGAGGGTCTGGTCCATTCAGAGATGGCCTCCAAGACTGAGGCTCCTGTCCCTGATATGTGTGCCCACCTTTGGGCCTGCAGGGCCTAGAACTGATGTGATTCACCCCCAGACTATACACTCTCCTGCACACCTCCAAAAGAAACAGAGCAGACAGATGTCCAGGCTGAGCTGGACTCAGAAGCTGAGGGCTATGTCCATACCGCCTCATTATGCAGCCACAGAGAAGACGCTCAGGACTTACACACTGAAAAGAAGTGTGTCTATATTCATTTTGGGAGAAGCCATGCCAGGCTCTGAACCAGCTTGTGAGCTACCCTGGCTATAGCTAGGTTGAACTGAAGCCTCACAGCTTCAGTTGGGCTGCATCCACCCTCACCCCACCTCATCCCCCACTGCTACAACTCATTTCCCTCTTGACCTGGCTGGCTTTCATTAGCACGAAAGCACCATTTCAGAAGTTATTAAAGGTAACTGAAGTTGAACCAAAGGACCTGGGATTCGGGCTTAGCTTCCCAAGAGAAGGTGGTGACATTGGTTGATGCCATGTCTAAGCTTGTTTTCCCAGTATGGCTGAGGGCTAGCCCACAGTGCTAAACCTATTTTTCCTTCCTGCCAGTAGTCTGAGGAACTCTGAGGAGGAACTTGGCCTGAAGCAGTCCGCTGAAAGACAAAAAAAAGGCCTTCTTCAGGACAGCAACACTGGGGACACCTGAGACATGCCAGCAGACCTCTCCTCCTCACCTACAATCACCTGCACAGCCTTTTGTGTACTGTAGGCCTTCGAGACTGTGTTGAAAACGCTGTCCATTTGGGACTCTAAAGAAGAAATCAGTGGTCCAAACTTAAAGACTGGTCATCCAAGAACTGCAAAGGGTGCCCTTCCTGTTTACCTGCGTCAGGTATGCACATCTGTAAGCAGCTGAGTGCAGATGTGCCAAGTTGCCTCCTGTCCATCATAGCTTCTGGGCTGTATTTCTTCCCAATGGGCCACCTCCCGGCAAGAGAATCCTGCTGAACCCTGGAGGTGCTATTGTTGCCACTGCCTTCTCTGATCTGCTAAGTGGCATAGTAAAGTAGAAAAGGAAACATCCTATTGTTATATGAAGATAACAGTGTCAGTGGAGCCATGTTCTCTGGTCATGAGACCCCCAACCAGCTGGCTGTCTTCTATGGATACACGAACATCTTCCCAGATATCACCACCCTCCAAGATAATGTCTTATTTATTATGGAAAATGATTTTGTTTTTCATCTCTTAAGCCCATGCCAAAAGGATAAACTCCATCAAACATCGGTATTAATGATATATGTGGCTGGCTGAAAAGTGAGAATGGCCTTTGAGACAATCCAAGGCTTGGGAAAACCTCCTGGGAACTATGGAGATGGAACCTAAGGATATGATATGATCACAGAGATTGGGGATCAGAGGCCATGCCATCTAAGACACAAAGCAGGTCAATCTCCAGATATGTTCTGGTAGAAAGGCCAGGAAGCCCAGTGGCAGAGATTGTCCCTTCTGTTGGGAGAGAGGACAGGGCCGCCTGTGTGTAAACACAGGGTAAATATAATCCATCTTCCATTGCTTAGTGATTAAACAGATTCACATCCTCATGCACCCAGCTAGGGCAGTGAGCTGTGGGCATTTCAGACTGAATCCATGAAAGGAGACCAGTCCTGTATTTTCCATGTGGTTGCTTGGTTGGTTTGTTGCTTTATTTTTTAAAGGAGAAATTTAACTTTCCTATTTATTTTCAAGCATTAAGAGAACTATTCCAGTGTCCCCACCCCACCCACCTTTGCCATTCAGGATGCTGACATTTTTAATGAAAATGCTTCTAAGCCTCTCGTTTTTCCCCTTGGAAGAAGGCAAAATTGCTCTCCTGAGCATCAGAGTGTTTGACCCATGGAGTCTGTCTGTATAAAGTGGTGGAGCCCTTCAGATATTCATTAAAACTTAGAATAACAGTGAAATAATATATAAACTCTTATGAGGAAGCTATCCACAAATATTTGACAAATGAAAGATTTCTACTTACTGTAGCTCTTCAGTGTACCTAATTTACCTCTGAAAGCTGGTTTGAAGTTTCTATCAGAAAATATTATCTTTCCTCCAATTCTTCCCAGTTCTATTCCTATGAACTATCATGTGATTTGCCTTTTTTTTCCAGTTCAGGCAATATTCTGTCTGACCCATGTCTTCTCTTTGGCACTCATTACTATACCTGAAGCACTAAGTTCAGAAATTGAATTTGTTCAGAATTAGCCCCGACATATATATTTAACATAGCACCATGTATTTTGGCTTCAGGGGTGGGGTTTGTTGTTTGGGGGACAGGATCTCACTATGGCTAGCTCAGGCTAGCATTGAACTTGCTTTCCTCCTATCTCAGCCCCCAAGTATTGAGATTACAGGTATGTAATATATTTTAAAATGCCCAGCAGGGTTTTTAAATTATCCAAAAATGGATTTAACTTTGTATTCCTTGGGCAAATCCTGCCATGAAAGATTTATAGATCAAGACTTGACTTGTAGACAACTGTTCAGAGACCAGTCAGCTAACTTTGGTTTTAGATTCCAATTCACACTCAGTCTTCTCATCAAACCCTGCTGAGTATGAGGTCTTGGCTTAGAAAGATCACTGACAGTGGAGGAGCATCATGTGTTTTTAACTTCAGTTTACACTGGGAGTTTAAGACGATCTTTTCAAGTCTGTTGGAGATCCATTGCTTTTAAAGAGTGTATACTGATATGCAAATGCTTTGTGGGGCTTTCTTCACCTAGCAAATGAAAGGATCTATGTCCCATGTAAAGGCTGTACCAGTGATTGGCATCCAAGAGACTCTGCAGAGGAGCCCACAGGGATGGATCCTCCTTTCCTGGGAGGATCTCAGGTTGAGTGTCTCAGTACTCTGCTTTCAATCACAGCTGCCAGTGCCCCTCTTTATGCCAGTACATTCAGGTGGTGATTAGGCTCAAATATGGACCTCCCAAGTGCCTCCCAAATCAGTACTTGGTACACCAGAAGGTCTGAAAAGGGCCAGAGGCTGAGGTTGGGTTGAGATAACCTGGTTGAACCATGGTCCACATTGCAGTATATGATAATCTGACTTCTTTGGTGGTTTCTCTTTTAGAGATCAAATCCACCGTTCATGGCAGTGGTAGTTCTTTGGGTAGATTAAAAAAAATTATCTTTCCAAGTTAAATGTACATCTCCTAGCTAAAAACTGGTGGCTTATGCCCGCAATCTATGTTATTCAGGAAGCTGAGATATGAGGATTACAATTTGAAGCTGGCCCAGGCAGCAAAGTCTATGCGACTCATCTCCAATTAACCATTCAAAAAAAATGGAGCTTTGGGGCTGGGAAGGTGGCTCAGTGGTAGAGCGTTTGCCTTGCATGCCTGAGGCCCTGGGTTCGATTCCTCAGTACCACATAAGGAAAAAGCCGGAAGTGGCTCAAGTGGTAGAGTGCTAGCCTTGAGCTGAAGAGCTGAGGGACAGCGCCCAGGCCCAGAGTTCAGGCCCCACGACTGGACCCAAAAAAAAAAATGGAGCTGTGACCTAAGTGATAGAGCACTAGCCTTGAACAAAAAAGGCTCAGAGACAGTGCCCTAGGAATGGCACGCCCCAAATAGGGTATCTCCTAGGCCATCTCTGCAGAATTCCTGTGTCCCTGCCCTTCAGAAAGTCAAATGTTTCTTAAAAGTTGTTATAATTAGAGAAAACCATTCCAGAGAACTAAGCTGAGAAGCAGCAGCCACACACTGAACAGTGAGCTCAGAAACCATGAAAATCCCCCATTGGGGGTGTGGGTGGGGAATGAATTATATAAAAGGCCTCCAAAGTTTTAGGGAGCCTGGATTTAGCCAGTGCTCTTCATGTTGTGACTTTAAGCATAGGGATAGCAAACATTTCTACATAGCAAGACATAATCCAGCCAGCCCTAGCCTGGAAGAGGCGACCCCCACCTGGAAGCATATGGAACCAAGCAAGGAGTGAGATTAACAAGTGTCCCAGCAGCAGCCAGCACTCTGGTCCCCGGACCCCACTGTTTGAGAAAGGAGGAACTGATGCTCACCACCCACAGGGCACGTTGTTTTCTACAGGTGTAGAAAACTGCCTGATGTCTCCAAGCAACTTTCCCAAGCATGCGGGCCACTGGATGCTTTTCCAGGCAGTTTGACAAGGATGTACCAATGACACTTGAATGCTGCTCAGGAGAAGAAAACCCCTTTGCAGGTTCTGGGCTTTCATCTCTCCCAAGTCAAGGAGAGGGAAATGGTTCAAAAGCCCAGAACCAAAGGAAGTTCAACAAACAGCACATGTTTAGGGTTGTATTAGGGGTTTGTTTGTTTGTGGTTTTGTTTTGTTTTTTAAATAGGATCTCACTGGCCTCAAACTCTCCATCCTCTCGTGTCAGCCTCACATATAACTGGGGTTACAGGCCTGAGCCACCATGCCTGACTGTTTTTAGTGTTTCTCACATTAAGACCTATTCTCTCTAGCCATTGATATTACCAAGTTTTCTGGAAGACCCAGTGGTGTGTGGTGAAAAACAGCTCTTCTTCCTAGTGTAATAACTTACTGAAATGTTCAAGTTTTCATTATCTTTATTGTAACAACCCTGTTTTTTTTAAGAACTTATTACTCTGACTTCTGTATATGTTGCACTGAAAAGGTTAATATTTAATGTTTTAATTTATTTTGTGTGGTAAGTTAATTTTGATTTCTGTAATGTGTCCATGTGATTAGTGGCTCTTTTCCTTAATATCTGAATTTTACTTAAAGAGTAGAGCAATATTAGATATAGTTGTGTTTTTCAGGAATATACATTGTTGTTCAGTTGTGTACTGTACCTTGTTTGGAAGGATGAAGGAATGAACTCTTTTTTCCTAAATCAAGACTAGAGTTTTTCTTTCATGGACTTAGGATATTATTAGAAAAAATGAAAATTTTTCTCTGTAAATGTGAGTAAGGAAAAAAATTGATACGCTTTTGCAAAAATGTGGAAATCCAAAAATTAACCATCATTGACTCCTGTCTGCTTAATCAAGTTCTTCTTAATTTATATCATTGATTGTGTGTCCAACAATACTGACTAATATGGAGAAAGTAGACAACACACAATCCCTTTCCCACAGGAATTGAGATCTGAGTGGGAAGGCAGGCGACTTGTAAAAATAAAATCATTCTGGGTTATTCTTGACAAAATTCAAAAAAATCATGCAATTTTAAAGTAGAAAGTTTGTGTTAATGGAGTTAATAAGGTTGGCTATGATACATGCTTGAACTGGAGACCCACCATGCCGTAGGTTTCCATATAGGGATAGATTTTTGCATGGGGCTATGACTTTAGGAAAAGCTCTGTTGAGCCTTTGCAAAGAAAGCAAACTTCACTTCCTCATGGATAAAAATGAAAGTTTATTTCTGAAGCTGCATTTATTTGGATCAGTCTAGCAGAAAGATAGACATGCCTGGCCATAACCCATCAACCTCCACCCACTACCAGGATCTCCCTGTAAGGAATTGTTCTGCACTGTCAGCCTAATATCTGAGCTCATATGATAAGTCCTCCACACTTCCCACCTGGTCTTGCTGAGTTGCATGCAACAGATGAGCAGCTTATGGCAAGGAAGCTAAGGGGGAGATCACAGCTCAATGGCATGAACCTTCCCTAAGGAGGTTCATGTTCTGTAGAAAGTGATGAGCACATAGACCCCATTGTACAGGACCCAGAAGGCTTAGATCAGCCTAACTTGCTAAAGGAAACCCAACAATTCTTTGTCCCTAGTCCCATAGTCTGTCTTTGTTCATCCCAACAGAAGGAGTTAGGCACAGTGGCTCACACATGCAATTCTACTCAAGAGGAATTGATCAGGAGGATCACAGATCAAAGCCAGCCTGGGCAAAAAATACAGAAAACCCCATTCAGTGATTAAAGAGCTGGACATGGTAGCATGCACCTATCATCCCAGTTATGCAAGAACAATAAATAGGATTGAAATCCAGTCTTGACTGAGAAAAAAAGCAGGATATTATGCAAAAAATAACTAAAATACAAAGGACTGGGGACATGGTGGTTGAATGCCTGCCCAGCAAGTGTAAGGCCCTGGGTCCAAACCCCAGCACTACCAGAAAGAAAGAGAAAAGCCTGCTACTCTTGCTGGTCTTTCTCCTCAAGATTCTATTCACTCTTTAAGAACATCTGTAGGGCCTTGTTTCTAACCTGTGTGACTCTACTACTTCCCCTGTTTGTTTCCAGTCCTGCTGAGACTGCGTGCCTTCCAGAACCTAGATCCAGGGGCTGCCCCTGGTATACTGGACTATCTATAATAGGAACTATTCCAGGAAAAAGTACCTATAAATTTCAAGTATCTTCAAACTCTGAACGTGAGAGACAACCAAATCTTTCCTTACTTGTACAGGTGACATGCAGAAGACAACTTGAAACCCATGTTCTAGAATGTTCGGATCCACCTCTTAGGATCCAATTAGCCCAAGCTTTGTTTCCAATTTCCTTGGTCTATACTGTCAGAGCAGGCTGCCAGACCTCCTCTCTAGCTCAGAGCTCCTTTCTTTAACAGCTACATGGAATCTCTGCGCCAGCACTGACCTTGTCTCCTGAAACTTTCTGCATTGGCTTTCTGCAGGACATGCTACCTGCAGCAGGCCCTGAGGTCTCTGCTGCAGATGCTTGCCTCCAGAAACACAGAGTAATCACACCCAGACAGAAGCTAGGCATCATAAAGCCTGATCCACTAGGGTAGTAGCTCTTGTCCAGATAAGTGAGGAATTTGAATACACGGAGGTGGAGCTTGGCAATCAATCTCTCCAGATAATTCTAATTCACTCTCTCCTGCCCTCTGGAATGCACCAAGCCTCAGGGAGCAGGTGGTATAGGAAAAGGGGTATGTCTGGAGCTCAGAGTGTCTAGTACCCACTCTGGACATCCCACCCTGCTTCAGCTTTAATTATATTCCTTAATGTCTAGCAGAAGTTAGCCCCTGGGGAGATATAGAGGCTTGGTCTTCCTTTTAAGTGGGTTCATCTGAGGTACAGAAGTGAGAAAACTCACAGGATTCTGTAAGGAAAGCCACGTGGCTGGTGTTGGAGGATGTGCAGAAGTAGACCCATAGCAAACAAACATGGGAAGTAAAAATAAAAAATAAACTGAAAGGGAAATGGAGAGGGAACATCTTTGCAATGGCATTGGCTCCAAGGGAAGCTTCAAGGATGGTGTACAGCTGCAAAGATGCTTTGGAACCAGACAGGGTCTGCTGTTACAAAGTCATCTATCTGAGCCCTGCCAAGGAGCCCCTAAAAGGGAGAGGAAATGTAAAGCCGGACTTGAGAAATGCTCCACTAGCCTGAGGCTGGGCCATCAGCTGCCGGTCTGCCTTGCACATTGTAAGGAGGGATTCTGGGATTATGACATCACAGAAAGATGGAATCATAGAAACCCTAATTGTACTTCTCATCTGCAGTAAGACCCCTCAGCCCTTGAACACATACTCACCAGCCAGGGTGCAGGGCTTCTGGTGTTTGTAGGAAAGGAGACCTGGAGGCCAAAGCCTGGGTGTGGAGGCAACCCTGCTTTGTCAGCTATGCTAAGGCATTGCTATCCTTTCAGAGCCTCCAATGCTGGCGGGGGGCGGGGGGAGGGGGGGGAGATCCTTAGGATGCCACTAAGTGAACAAGGATTTGCATTATTAGTTTTCTGAAAGTAAAAGAAAAGACTAACTATAGAAATCCTATTTTTTTTTTAATTTCTCAGGAACTGGTATTTATTATCAAAGTCATATTCGATGTCAAGATGCCACAACTACAAAAACAAGTGCACACATTGCAATCTCAATGCAAACAGTCAAATGGAACCCCAGTCATTTAAAAAGTCATTCAAATTGCCCCCAAAAGCAACTGAATTTTCAAAACATCTTTATACACCCAGCCAAAAACATTAAAATGGTTAACAAGTAAACAAATTCGGGTATTGATGTTTAAAAAAGGCAACAGCTTAAGCATTTCTATCCATTCGAACATCTATCTTCTGGCCCCTCAAGTTCATGCCGTTCATCCTCCGGCAGGCTCTTTCAGCTACCTCTGGTGACTCAAACTTAACCACGCCGCACCCTGTAGACTTCCCATTTTTCATCTTGATGCTGGCATATAGCACGTGGCCACATTCACTGAATTTGTCCTTTAGCAACTTCCAAGTAAAATCAAATGGGAGATTTCTTACAAATACCTGGCAGGCCTCTCTGGCCACCCTGGGAACATAGCCTCTGGCTCCACCAAAGGATCCTGCAAAGCTTCCTCCAAAGTGTCCACACTCCATCCCAATGGCATTGCCACCACCACCCATGGGCAGGCCCGTGTGCTCAATGCCAGCACCTAAATCTGATCCCATGGCAGGGCCCATCCGCTGGAGACTGTTGGCGCCCATGCGCTCAAGGCCCATGCACTCCAGGTTCTTGGCACCCATGCGCTCCAGGCCAGTGGCCATGGGATCCATCACGGGGCCCATGTGCTCCAGGCCAGCCCCCATGCCCACGGGCACCCTGCGCTCCATGCTCAGGCCCATGTAGTCGATGGCAGGACCCATGCACTCCACACCGGAGCCCATGGGCTCAATGATCTGGCCCGCATGGTCAATGGGTGCAGCCATGTGCTCCAGGCCAAAGCCCATGCCAGCACCCATGTGCTCCATGGTCTGGCCCATATGCTCAAACCTGGAGGCTGTGTGGTCGAGACTCAGGGGGCCCATGTGCTCAATGCCAGAGCCCATGCGCTCGACCGAGCCCACGCTGTTCATGACTAGGCCCATGCGCCTCATCTCAGAGCCAATTCGATCCATGCCGTGACCCAGGCCAGCACCCATGCACTCCATGCCAGTCCCCATAATGTAGTCAATGCCAGGGCCCATCCTCTCAATCCTAGGGATGTTGCCACCTCCTCTACCCCCTCCCTGCTTTGCAATAATCTCTCCTCTCTTCAGTGTATTAGTTAGGATTTCATTTATCCGGCCCATGTTCATCCCAGATCCAAATCGTCCCATGTTTTCCATATCACCACCAAAGGGATCCTCCATGCCTCCCATTTTATTTATTCCAAATCCTATGCCTTCCATTCCCATTCCTGCAGGACCTATGTTTCCCATGCCAATGCCTTTGCTTAGGTGATTGGCATCAATAGGCTGCCCTCCTGGCCCCAAATCCATGCTAATACCACCAAGTCCATAGGGAAGTTGCTGGGGATGTTCAGGAAGGAAGAAGTCTTTGTTTGGTAAAGCCCTCTCCATTTTGACGTGCATTGGTCTATCAAATAGCAGCCGGCCATTAAGCTTAGCTACCGCTTGCCGAGCTTCCAGGGGCTGCTTGAAAGTCACAATGCCTTTCCCAAGACTTTTCCCGTCTTTATCCTTCAGAATGTCTGCTCGGAGCACCACACCAACCTTACTAAACACCTTCTTCAGTTTCTTCCAGCGAATTCTATGATCCAGATTTGCTACCAACACTGTGCTTGCAAGACTTCCAGTCTTTTGCATTGCTCTGTTGGCATGTTCACCGTCAGGATCTTCCTTGACTTCCAGTGGTGTTCCACTCAGGCGATGCTTATTTAGCACTTCGACAGCTTTTTTCATGCTCTCTTCCATCTTGAATTCAACAATCGCACATCCGCTTGACTTGCCTTCAGCGTCCATTAAGAGTTCCACGTATGTGACCTCACCAACTTTTTTTTTAACCAAGTCTTTAAGTGACTGCCATCTCACATCCAAAGGCATGTTGGTAACGAAAGCACTGTATCTTTTTCTTGGGTTGGCACAGGGCTCAGAGGGGCTGCCTCCTCCTTGTATGTTTTTCTCCTCCCTCTTCTCATTCTGAGTCAATTGTTCTCCTTCAACCTTTGGACCCAGAGCCCCATGGTCACTTAGCATGCAGGCCGCGCTGCTTTCTTCTTCCATTTTGGGCTCCGTCACCATCACCTCCGCTGCTGCTTCAACCCCTGATGCCATTTCCTCTGTGTCTGGGCTTTGTTGAAATTCTATTATTTTAAGAAAGCACAAAAGTTTTTAAATCTTGGGAAAGATACAGATATCCAGATCCAAGAAATATAAAAAGATTCCTAATACATTTGATCAAAATATATTCTCTGCTGAGTGTGGGGCCAGCTTGCAGTGGCGCTCTATGCCAATAGGGACCAAAGGACAGTGTTCCAAACCAGGCCTGCCCCTAATGCTGAGTGAGGGGCTGACCTCCAGCAAACAGGACACAGAGTAAACAGTGCTCTGAATCTGAGTCCAGCCCCCAAGCTCAGTGCTGAGTAAGGAGCCAGTCTCTGGTGGAGCTCCAAACCAAAAGGGACAGGGACTAAAAGGTTCTAATCTCAGAGATCTATCCCCAAACCTAAGCTTCTACAGTTAAGAGAATCACAGGCTTCCAGCCTCAAGCTCTGCATCATACATAGAAAGGCAGAGGCTGAAGACCTCTCCTGGTCACAGAAGGCAACCAAAGGCCTGCTCCCACTGGGATCTGCACAAGAAAGATAGAGCCTGAAGGTCTGCTTTTCATGCAGTGGATGTCTAGCCCTCCCCAGCCTTAAACAAGTAGGAGAGTCTAATAAACATATCAAGACTGGAGGGATAGAAAAGGTGAAAAAAGGTGCCCTACTATAGATTATATTTCACCTATTCTAGATTGGGATAAAGTACCAAAGATGACATATGCCCCATACTAGTAGAGACGCATTCCCATCAAAGCATCATTGGCCTAGTCAACTGAGAATACAGAAAACAAACCAGTAGGAAGATGTCAGGCACCTGAAAGTCAATACCAAAAGGGCCTTCAAATGGATAAAGCTAAGAATACAAGAAATATGAGAAATCAAAGAAATATAAAACTAGAAAACAGCAATCATACAATAGAACAGAAAGACGATGATCTAGAGGAAACTTCACACATAAGACTAAAAGAACTACTGATAAAGATGATTGATGATAACAGAAAACCTATACAAGACATTCTGTGAATGTAATGAGACTGACCAAAGAATAATTGAGTAATTCGTGGAGAACACAAAAAGCTAAATGAATTCCAAAAGATGTCAAGAGTCCAATGAAAAACCAGCCACCCAACTAAAAGAGATAAAAGAAGGCACAGATAAATTGATGAAGTATACAGTCTTTTTTTTTAAAGACTGCAATAGAGAGAAATCCTGAAAAATAACCAAGCAGAAGGTAGAGAATAGATGACAAGGAAGACAGAGTCTGAGGTTTGAAGACAGGGTAGTGTAATGGAGAGGATATAATCTTAACCAAAAAAAAAAAAAAAATCCAAGCAACAGGAAATGAGTTTACAAGAACATTAGGATTTTATCAGAAGTCCTAATTTGTAGCTGAAAGGTAATAAGGAAGGAGAAGAGCAGTCAACTAAGGATATAGGAAATGTATTTAACAGAATAATAGCAAAAATTTCCCAAACATTCAAAAGTAAATGTCCATCCAAATACAAAAGGCATTTAGAACACCCAACAGACAAGAAAAGAACCTCCCACCACCACATTGTGATTCAAACAGGCTCAGTAGAAAACAAGGAGAAGTTACATAAAGCTATGAGAAAACAAGATTGACTACCTAGAAAGGAAAACTGGTCAGAATAACTGCATATTTCTCAGCTGAAACCTGAACCATAAGGAGAGCTTAGCATGATGTATACCAAGCATTGAATGTGAACTACCACCAACTGAGAACTCTCTCCAGCCAAACTTTCATTCATATCTGAAGGGCAAATAAGAACATTTCATGATAAACTAAAACAATTTATCACCATCAAACCAGCACTACAGAAGATACTCAGAGGATGTCCTGCATACAAAAATCACATGGCTGTGCACTGGTGGCTCATATCTGTAATCCTAGCTACTCAGGAGGCTAGGATCTGAGTATTGCAGTTCAAAGCCAGCCAGAGCATGAAAGTCCATGAGTCGCTAATCTCCAATAAACTACTTAGAAAAGGCCAGAAGTGGTCCTGTGACTCAAGTGGTAGAGCACTAGCACTGCGCAAAAAGAAGCTCAGGGACAACACCCAGGACCTGAATTCAAGTTCAAGGATTGGCTCTTTTAACATGATATAGACAGAGAAAAAAGATTCTACCAGATGAGCATATAGATATTGTAAGAAAAGACACAACTCCTAAGAGGAGAGGTAACATGGCAAGAGCTATCACATATCTCTCAGCTCTAATACTTAATATTAGTAGGCTCAATTTGCCAATGAAAAGACAGAGTGGCTAGTTAGATCAAAAGACAGGACTCACCTATCTGCTGCCTACAATAGACGCAGCTGACAAAAATAATTTACTTAAGGTTAAAGACAAGAACAAAATCTTTCAGGCAAGTGGCCTCATAAACAGACCAAAATAGCAATACTAATTTCAGATAAAACAGGCTTAAAATTAAAATTAGGAAGAGGAGACAAAGAAGGGCATTATATATTAATAAAAGGAACTCATCAGAAAGACATAAAAATTCCCAATATTTATGCTCTGAATGCTGTAGCTCCCAACTTCATCAAATATTTCTTTACCTAAAACACACATAGATCCAAACACATTGATTGTTGGTGACTTCCACACATCACTGTCACCTCTGGATCCTCCAGGCAAAAACCCAGCAAAGGAACCTCAAAACTAAAAAACTGTATTTACCAGCTAAACCTGTCATCTATAGCATCTTTCATCCAGCAACATCAAAAGCTCACAAAAGATATTCTTGGAAGCCCATGAAACATTCTCCAAAATAGACCATATCCCAGGTGACAAAGAAAATCCAAGAAAAATTACTCCCTATATCCTGTCAGACCACAAAGTAATAAAATTAGAGCTCAACAGCAAAACCATCACACAAAATGGAAACTGAACAATACATTGCTGAATGATCATTGTGTCATCAAAGAGGTAAGAAGGGAAATTCAAATGTTTCTAGAATTTAAATGAACACTTGAAATACTAGCTCTTCTGGAACACAGCAAAGGCAATTCTCAGAGGAAAGTCTGTGTCTATGAGTACATACATAAACAATTTAGAGAAGTCTTTAATCAATACTCTAATGATGCACCTCAAGCTCCTAGAAAAACAAGCCAAACCCAAAACCAGTAGATGGAAAAAATAAGAAATATCAGAAACAAATCAATTAGAGATTATGGTTTTTTTTAACCATACAAAGAACAAAACAAAAAAAAAAGTTGGTTCTTTGCGAAAAATTAACAAAACTGACCTGACTGAAAAGATATCACCCAAATAAATTAAAGATGAAAAGGTAAAATCACAACAGAAATAAGCAAAAACAAAAACAAAAACTGAAGAATATAAGGGAACACTTTGCAAACCTTTGCACCAATAAATTGGGGAATCTGACAGAAATGGATGTATTCCTAGAGAACATCAGTATCCCTAAGCTGAGCCAAGAAGATATAAATCAGTTAAATAGACCCATAACAAGAAATTAAACTTAAAATGGCAGTAAAAGACCTCACATCCAAGAAAAGCTCTGGACCTGATGTGCTTACAGACGAATTCTATAAGGCCTTCAAAGAGAACACCAATGGGGGAGAGGGGTGGAGAGGGGAAGGGATGGTATGGGGAAACAAAGGAGGAGGCAACAATGCTTGATAAGAAATGTACTCACTATCTTGCCCATGTAATTGTAACCCCTCTGTATGGTATTTTCACAATAATAAAAAATAAAATAAAATTGAAAATTTAAAAAATGGAAATCTGCAAAAAAAAAGAAAAATTAACACCAATACTCAAACTCTTCAATGAAACAGAAAGGGAAGGATGAATACCAAACTCATTCTATAAAGATAGTATTACACTCATCCCAAAACTAGATAGGTACCCATCAAAGAAAAAGAACCATACACCTATCTCTTTGATCAACATAGATGCAAAATTTCTCAATAATAATCTGACCAACCAAATTCAACAACTGACCAAATAAACATCATAATTTGATCAAATAGGATTCATCCCAGGAACAAATCAGAGTTGGCTGAACACACGGAATCAGTAAATGTAAATGTAATAAAACACACCAACAGAAACTCAAGAACCACATGATCATCTCAATAGATACAGAAAAAGTGTTTGACAATATCCAACACCCCTTTATGATAAAATCTCTGGAGAAACTGGGAATACATAGAACTTTCCTCAATATAATAAAGGATGTGTATGACAAACCTATAGCTAACATTATACTTAATAGTGAAAAACTAAAACCATTCCCTCTAAAATCAGGAATGCAACAAGGATGTCTGTTAACTCCACTCCTCTTCAATATAGTATTGAAATTCCTAGCAAGAACAATAAAGCAAGAGAAAAGTATAAAGGGGATCCAAATAGGGAAGGAAGAAGTAAAACTATCCTTTTTGGCAGAAGACATGATCTGTACATAAAGGACCCTGCTCCTCTCCCAAGCTCCTAGATCCCCCAAGCTACTAGAGCTGATTCAAAACTTTGGTAAACTAACGGTATAAAATCAACCGACAAAAACCAGTAGCTTTTCTGTATACCAAAACTGAGAAGATAAAGCAATTCCTTTTGCAAGAACCTTAAAAAGAAATAAAATACTTAGGAATTAACTAAATATGTAAAGGATCTCTAGAGTAAAAAACTTTTAAATTTTAAAGAAGGAAATTACAGAAGACTTAAGGAAATGGAAAGACCTTCCATGTTCCTGGATTTAAAGAATTAATATTGTGAAAATGGCAATGGTGCCGAAAGCAATCTATAAATTCAATGTAATACTCATCAAAATCCCAAGGTTATTATTCAATGAGATAAAAGAAATTCAAAAGTTCATATGAAACAACAAAAGACCCTGAACAGCAAAAGCAATCCTTAGCAGGTAGAATAGTCCTGGAGGAAGAACAATACCAATTCAAACACTATTACAGAGCCATAGTAATGAAAACAGCCCATTACTGGCACAAAAACAGGCCTAAAAACCAATGG